AGTTGAATGGTTCTGTGCAAGCTGGTTCCACTTGTGTTTATTCCAAAGTCTCTTATGGCCTTTTCTGAAACTAGATTAAACAGCAGTCAAGGTAGTGAGTCTCCCTGTCCTTAATCCTTTCTCAGTATAAAAAGGTTCTGAAAGGTATGTTGAAATTTTTATTCTACATATCACTTTTTAAGGGTCATCCTTGTGAGGCTTTTCAGTTTCTTAGGGATATTAAATTCTAACATCGCTTCAAGTAGTTTTTCTCTGTTAATACTGTCATAGGCAGCTTTAAATTCAACGAACAGGTGGTAGGTGTCAATTTTACATTCTTTAGTTCTTTCCAAGATTTGTCTTATAGAATGCAATTGATCAGTTGTTGCTTTTCCTTTCTGGAATCCATAATGGTAATTCCCAATAACATTAGAAGTTGTAGGATTCTCCACTATGTATTTCTAATTTACAGTTGAAAGTGAAGAACCTTAAGAACTAGTAAGCGAATAATCGCTCGAGTTCGTGAGATAGAATACAACAAGTAAGAAGGGTGAAATAACCCTTTATTATTCCAACTAAAGTTTAACAAAACTCCGTCTTGGAGTTGTACAATAAAGCCGACACTTGGGTTTGAAAGCTATCAAAATTCTAACAGAGTTGGCCCCTTAACGCTAATTGACTGCGAAGATATCAAGGGCCTAAAGTACGGCCGAGCGTAATAATAGCTTACGAGAGAGTAGCCTAAAAAGGCGGACGTGTGCAGCCAGAATATCTGATATCTCTCTCACTAAGACTCTCGAACTTCGCGGTTATATACCGCTCTTCCTCATTAGCATTCAGACGTGATTCTAAAACTACGTTCTGACCAGAAGTGGTAAGCTGAAATTAAGAATCAATAGGAAAGGAAGTTTAACTCAAAATTTAACTGTTAATAAAATTAACATAATTCTTAAAAAGTAAATGTAATCATTCGTTTATACCAAAATAGCGGAGAAGATTTTATATACTGAATTCAGTAAGGTAATTCCTCTGTAATTACAACATTCTAGCTCGTCTGCTTTTTTTTAAATAAGACGAACAGATCCGTCTTCCCTCTCAATGGGCATTTGTTCCTGCGTCCATATGCAACAAATTAGATAATCGATTGCTTTATTTAAATTCGTTTCATTGATATTTAAAAGCTCCGCCTTGATGCCATCCGGTTTAACTGATTTATTACTATTTAACTTTTTTAATTGCCATTCAACATTATACAGAGTTGGTAGATTATGCTCCATAATCTCACATTCACAACTCATAATAGGTAGCATGTTATAAATAGTTATCTCCCCCTCTATATCTCTATCCGAAAGCAGACACTTAACCCTCTGATTGCTCAATTTGCGGACCGAAATCGCTTCAAATTTTTTTTGGCATATTTTAAATCTATATATATTGGAGAACTGAAAAATGCATTTTTCCTTTCTAGAAAATATTTGTTTATATAGATATTTATCATGAGAAACTAAGTTGCCTGTAAAACAAATTTCAGATATTAGTACCAAAGAAAAAAAAATTTTAAATAAATTTCAGTCGAATTACTGTTAATTTCTATTTATTGCATAATATAAAAAAGTAAAATTTAAGAAAATATAAAGCACTGAGGAAAAAATACCTTAGAAATGCAGTTTAGTATGATAGAGTTCAAAACAGGGTTCAAGGCAAAGTCCAACTTTGCAGTCTTTGCACCAGATTCAATAAATCTAATTAATAATCAATCTAATTATTAATCTAATCAATAAATCTAATCAATAAATCTAATTAATAATTCAATAATTTAATTAAATATTCAGATAAGCGCTGAATGTTTTCTAGCAGCCATTTCTGTAAGAAAAAAGCGGCAAAAAGTGGAGATTGAGCGGTAATAACACGTGTCTTCAAACGGCCGCAATTTAGTGGACAACTAACGATATCTGTTGGCCAAACGTAAACTAAACGTCTAATACGTTATATAATTTATTTCAGTGGTTAAACGGGGAAAAAAACGGGATGCGCTCCTCAATAAAAGAAGAAAAACGCATGCCCGCGGAAATCGCGGGATGAACAGCCAGAGGATTAAAATACTCACGCCAACAAACCAGTACTTCCTCCATGTCTCTGGTGATTTCTCCATTTTTTTTACAAGTTATTGTTTTGGGATTAAAATCAGCTCTGATATTATTTATCAGCTGATAAAATTTCCTAGCTTCTTTTTGTATTTTTAGATAAAAGTAGCCCCTACCTTTTGTTATCTTCTCGTTAAGATCTCGTTTTGCGAGAGAACATTATTTTGACCAATGTTCACACCAATGTAAACTTCGCCTCCATTGCATAAAATGTGCAGGTCCACACGGGACCGATCAATGGGAAGCTAAAAGGCTAACCATAGTGAAATGATGCAACTGCGGCGAAATTGGCCCCACGGCCATTTACAGAGGATGTGTAAACTTTCCAAAATTGTATAAGACTACTAAACAAAATGTAAATAACCCTACTAAGCAAAATTCTGTAAAAAGTACAAATCCCACTGCTCGGATTAATACTGGTCACTCCTACGCAAATGCTGTTAAAAATGACAAACAAACAGTGCAGAATCAAATACCTGGATTGCAAAAGACTGTTAAAGACACCAGAAAAAAGAATGAGCTTGGATTTGATGCCTTCCTAGACATTATTAAATTTATTAAAGAATTATGTGGAATTTTCAAAACCTGTTCTATTTCAGACGTCCTACACAAAATTGTGGCTAAAGTGCCGGAAATTAATGCTACTGAAAACTCCATCAACAAATTATTCGCACTGTTTAATCTATTCAAAGGCATTTTCACGGGCACCTTTGTAAATAATAACGAATATATTTCATAATGTATTGATCAATACAGTGTCAAAAGACCCAGCTAATGTAACATGCTCCATGGCAATTCTAAGTAACAATAATGATATTTTGTTTTTGTAAGTATTATGTTTTGTATATTATGTTCTTGTATATTATGTTAGCATACTCACAATGTCTTTGTATATTACTGGTTCTGCTATAAGTATTCCCATTTTGTTTCTACATACATACCCTGATGTATTCATTGTCCTCAGCGCCAATGTCATTGCAACGTAATTATACTCTTTATATGTATGCCTACTTTTTGCATATTAGATTTTTGTTTGCTAATTAACTCTTTAAATCATTTTTCGCCGAAGGATTCGCACTTGCCATTACTTTTCTTTTGTTCCCATGTTATTTAATTATGTTTCAGGATGTTAGTCACCAGACGGTTCTGCCCTCGCCCAGATGCGCATTTTCAGAGTCTCTCAGTACAGTTTCACCACACTTATCTTTCCCTGCTTCTCATTTTTAACAAGTTATTCATTCCATCACAGCATTCATTTCTAATTTCTTACGCCCGACTATAAATCCACTTAACTGCTTCAAAATTTCCTTATAATATATATATGAACCCTTTTTGGTTTCAAAGTTCACCAAGCAACCCACAAGCTATTAACTATCTAAAACTTAGGACGTACCCTTAATTTATTCTTACTTTATATTTTGCCTTAATGCTCTCACAGTTAAGTAAATATCCAATTCTTATTCGATAGGGGTTGGGCCTGCGGACCTGGTACCCGTGTGTGTTCACCATTCTCCAGTGAAACGATTATTTTGAGCTGTTTATTTTGAGCTGAATATTTGAGCTGTTTATATTATTTGAGCAGACAATTCTATTCGTTTATGCACATGACTGTGAGATTGTTCATGGGTAGAAAGAAAATTCGAAAAATCTTAACTAAACTATATGCCTAACTCTTGCGGAAGAGCCTAGAATTGACGAGTTTAAAATGACAGCAATACGCAGTATTAATGCTTCACTTCTCACCATATGAAAGTCGATGACAGCTGTGATGAACATTGAAACAACTTCCCGTTTCTGTGCCTATGGAGAACGTCCCGTTTTTATCATAAATATTTATTAGATTTTCCTAAATTGAACGATTTTTTTTAATCATTATCTGCAATACCTAGCTATGGTCCATGAACTCTTGAGTGAATTACGCGTTCAAAACAGTTACGTTCTTTCGGTTCCAAGTAATTCAACTATTATTTTCATTCATAGAAGTTGCTTAAAAAGTGTTTTCTTCTTCTAATTCATATTACATTTACAAGTGATTCTGGCAGAATAACGATAGCTGCGCTAAACTTCATTATTGTATAACAACAAGGTAATCTGTTAAATCAAATACATAAAGATGCGCGATGCGTTTTGAGATTTTATCATATCGTGATCGGTGTATTTCAATTATTGAACTGGAATTAATATTCACGCAAGTTTTCAAACATGCATGGAATTCCAATGTATGGTAGCCTTATTTCAAAAAAAGCCTTATTTCTTTACAAGATAAGTGACGTTTGATTAACATGGTTTTATTTTGTGCGAAAATGCCGCCCAGACAGTATAGTGGTTAGGGAAGTCGACTGCGATACCAAAGGACCTGGGTTCGAATATCGGAGAAGGGGTGGCTGTAACTGTCCGTCCCTTCATAGGAGGCAAAGGCGAACTACCTATTAGGTGCCTTCATAATAAAATAACCACCACTTCTATCCTTAAAAGTGGTAAAGCGAAGTCGGCTAAGAGCCCGCCATAAGAGGAAATATTATAAACAAATGTTTATTTTTCTAAGTTGATTGCAGTATTTTAAATTGTATATATTTTTTTTTAATTAAACAAAACAAACAAACACAAAAGTAAAAACAATTCGTTACTTGCACTGCAATAAATATGTGTCCAGCTTATAGAAAAAAATAATCCAATTAATTATTCCGACCTCCCGATTATCCGGTTGGACTGGAATCGGTTTCGCTGTTTTTCCTACATCGCTAAACGCTTAGGAACATAGATCAAGGACAGAGGGAAAAACACGAAGATGATACAGGGAAAAATGCCAGCTCCCGAACACCCTTAGGGCATTCAATGCAAGACTAATTTTGACCTTGACTCGACTGGTGATAGAGAAAACTCCCACTTCAGCTCAAAAGCAAATCAAACTCATTTGCTAATACAGCCGTTTCGAACAAACATTTGTACGCTTGTTAACACACGGAGCAATTATATACCTGTTTCCGCAAATATTGGGTATGTCCTCGCAAAAGGTGAGGCCAAAGACCTTACGTCGTGCAGTGCACGATACATTCCAGAATTACGGCGTTTCAGCGATTCTTGCCGTCGTTTTGATTTTTTTTATTCCGTGGTGGTTGCGTTGGTGTTTATTTTATTTAGGGAGTATACTATTCTTAGCTTTTGTTATAGCACCTTTCGTAAATGATTGGAGGCCAAGAGCTCGAGTCCCAGTCGAAGGAAAAGCTGTATTTATTTCTGGTAAGTTTCTACGTTAGTATTTTGTTACGTGTGCTAAAAGAAAAATTGGTATGTCACCTTTTTTTTAAATTCTTAGTTTGTTATCTATTTATTTTATCTATTTGAGGAACAGTATTCATTTATTTATTTTCCCACGTCTTTATGCGTACTAAACCCATACTGTAAAATGTTAAATTCCAAAATAATTTAGAAATTATTGTAAATAAAAAAAAAATTATTAATCATGAGTGATGATTATTGTTAAAATTCCTTTTCTTTCCCTTCTTTTAAATCTGGAGTATATTTTTATATATTACTTAAAATGTGAAAATGATTAGAGATAAAACATATCCAGCTTGACCAAATAATGTGCGATTTATGTAATATATGTGCAAGGAAGAGCTGTAAAAAAATCTGCAGAATTCGGATTACGATTTAAAACCTCAAAGAGTTTACTACGAAAGAAAACTAAAATATTAAAAAAAAAACATTAATGTAAATATTGTAAGATTTAAAAATTTATATTGAACATCTCAATTCAATACCTCAATAATTGTAACCTAAACAGTTAACACAGTTACGATTAGACTACACGTTTAAGAGTTAGTTCAAAAATATTAAAAACAGAACGCATGAAATCCTTAATTTAATACGATCCGTCTAAAATAGTAAAAGCCAAATAGTTGTAAAAGTTTACTACGATATTATTTTATCATAAATTAACGCTACGTAAAGATGTGTCCTTATCAAAGAAAGATAAGACTAATTATTCAAGAAGTAGCTGAGCATTTATTTGAGTAGATTGCTTGTGCACAAGGCTTGCAAATATTTCCTTTAAGTGGCAGTACTATTTATTTTCCTAGTATAGGCTATCCGCCTATTGAAACAATAAGCATGTCTAATTAATAAATAAATAAAATTATAATGTCATTTTAATTATGTCTATATAGTATAATTTACAATAATAGATAAATAAAAATTAAATTAAAAATAACCGTTTCTCCTAATGTGAAAAGCTGTTTAAAAACGAATGTGATCTTGACAATAGTCACATAATAAAAATTTTGACAAATCAGACGAATGTTATCCTAGCTGCAAGAGTGATTTTCGTGATTCTTCCATATAATATACTTTCCCATGAGCAACTTAATTACCATTCATTTTCCTTAGAACGTTTGGTTAATCTTTAAATTATGGTAACTTGGCGATTTTTTGGCGTAAATTTGGCGACCAACCCTGCTACAGCAACCTGCTAGTTTTTGTTTGGATGCCATTTTGTTTTCACGAAGTAAAGGCATTTTTTTTTTTTATTTATTTATTTTTAATTTTTTTGTTTTTACTCAACATTTTTTTCCAACAATCTGCTAGCCGAATTACGCTAATGCTAGAACTTTTGTGGAACAAAAGTGCTTAATCATGACGAAGGTTAGTTGCGAAATTGGGACAAAGTGCAGAATTGCCAACTGCTTGCCGCGTTTTTAAGAATTGCCCATACACGATATCATCCATGTACACGGCGACCTATTTTCACTTAAAAATAATCCCAGAATTGCACAAAAATGGCATTGTGCACACTCTTGACTTTATCCATGTACACTGCTAAAATCCTAGCTAGTAACCTTTATCGCCTTACCAAAATGTCGCCTTACTACCTGTTACCATATTCCAAAGATTAGCCGGAGTCTTTACTCAATAATAATAACTAACACATGTAATCAAGGTTACACTAAACCCAGCGTGTTTGTAAAAGACTTCCATTTTTGGCGAAAAATTGTGTAGTTTGGCGTCTTTTCTTTAATAGGCAAAAAGGGTCAGCGGGATTTTCCGTTAAGTACCATTATGGTCTTTAATTTAATAAAATAAATGAGCAGCTTGTTAAAATATGACGAGTCGAAATAGCTTCACTCACATTTTAATATACTTCAAGACAGTATTAATAGGTTCATTACATGCATTCACGAAACAGTATCCATAATGCAAGAGTTCAATGCAATCATTTTATCATCTTCAGAACTACACTTCCGTTGCCGTTACGTAACAACTAAAAGACTACTCTTTCTCATTTTTTAAATAATGGGTATCCCAAACTTTACAACAAAGCACTCAGGCCGTTTCCTATGATGCAAACCCTATGATGCCAGATGAAATTCTGTATTTTTCGATATAGTTATGCTGCAAGGCGTTTTGCAAAAAGCTTAGGATTGCTTGCTTCATTTTAAAATATATCATATTGCGCTGATATATTAATTGGGTAATCTTTGGAATATGGTAATAGGTAATGGCGGCATTTTGGTAAGGCGATAAAGGTTACTAGCTAGGACTTTAGCAGTGTACATGGATAAAGTCAAGAGTGTGCACAATGCCATTTTTGTGCAATTCTGGGATTTTTTTTTAAGTGAAAGTAGGTCAACGTGTACATGGATGATATCGTGTATGGGCAATTGTTAAAAACCGCGGATGGGCGATTCTGCACTTTCTCCCCAATTTGCACCTAATCTTCTCATGATTAAGCACTTTTGTTCCATAAAAGTTCTAGCATAAGCGTAATTCGGCTAGTAGATTGTTGGAAAAAAAAATGTTGGATAAAAAAAACATGCCTTTACTTTGTGAAAACAAAATGGCGTCCAAAAAAAAAAAAAAACTAGCAGGTTGCTGTAGCAGGGTTGGTCGCCAAATTTTTGCCAAATAATCGCCAAGTTACCATAATCCGAAGATTAACCTATTAATTTGCATCAATAAATTTCAAAACATATAATGCATACGAAATGTTAATCTATGTAAAATTGGGTTACAGCTCATATCAGCGTGTGTCAAACGCAGCAACTTTAAAAAGGCAATGTTATTTTCTACTGATCTTTTCGATATTATTTTGGGTCCATAAATATTTTTATCTAATGCAGTTTTATTGCAGTTTCTGAAATAAAAAGGAGACAATCTTTTAAGTTCCCCCCCCTTTATTTGATTTCTTCCCCCTTTCTTTTTATTTGCTGAATATAGAAGCATTTTTTTTAAAATTTATTGAGTTTAATCAAATAAAAAGGAAACAGAAATGGCTAAAAGCTCAAAACGTTGTTTTTTAGCAAAGCAGATAAGAAGAAAAAAAGTTGACTCTTATCTGACCTCATCACGTCGAGTTTGAGGTTCAAAGAACTTTAAATTAAACCAATGATAGTTTGTGTCCAAAGGTACAAATAAAACTGCGGCGTAAGATGCTAAGATTCTTCAGTACGTTGGATCAGAAGCTATAGAAACCAATTATATTAGCAACGGAAATTAGCGTAATATGAGCAAGCTTCCAATACTGTTGGTTTGTTCGTGTTAGGCCAATTTCTGATGCTAATTATTGGTTTCTTTGATATTTGTTACATTTAGCGAGTTCTTTGAACACACTGGATTAAAAATTTCAACATCTCGGAGCTCACTGGATACAGAAGAGTATTTTGAGGTAACAAATTGAAACGATTGAGTAAAACTTCTTTTGGTTTTTGTTTTGAATTTAATGCATATAATTATTACGCGTTTGAAGTGCTGTATTAAATTGTTTTGTCAAAATAAAATTGAGAAAAAAACACTGTTAAGGTTGTTTAAGATAATAAATTAAAACAGTTGATCGAATTGAGGAAGCAAGTTCCTTAGAACAAAAATTTTAACTATGTATAATTCTTTTAAATACGAGTTTCAATTAATGGGTATTATAAAGACTGTATATTGTATAGTTCTTATTCTGTGATTGAGCAAAATGAAATATAATGTTAGTTTTTTCGAATTTTTAAAATTTCTTTTAAACGTTCTTAGGTTATTTAATAGATACATATAACGTTTCGAATAGTATATTTTCCAATTTTCCATTCAATACTGAACCAGTTTTCCTTGGAATATCCTTCCTTTCAGCAAACAGCTTTCACGTACTTTGCCTTAAAATCAGTCTGATGAACATACTGACCAAACCAAATGGTCAGAATTTGTGATAAAGCTCATACACGATTTTAAGAGTCTGAAATAAACTTTTCAAGTATTTTATACATATCTGTAGAATAGAAAATTTTTATGTAGAATAGAAAATTTTATTATTAGTATTATATTTCTTATATGGAGAGGGCCTACCAACGACCGAGCGATTAAGTGGTTCGAAACCCGGCCAACGGTCTGCCTGCACGGGTATTTTCATGGTTTTCTTCATGTGTAACGTGTATACGAGCAAGTTTCCCTTAGAAAGTCCTATAGGAAGGCATTTTTTTTTTTTTTCTCTTAGGCAAATAAACCTCGAGTGCGTTGCCTTAAATAAACCAACCTTATGTGGAGATCCCCGTTCGTATTGCACAATTAAATATTTTTAAAATGGTTGGTTAGCACGGTTTCAACTTAATTAAGTAGATTATCAGATTAAAAACATTTTATTCCCAAGACTAATTTTCGTAATAACATGTAAAATTAAACATTTTACACATGCTGAATGCAAAGAAAATAACATTTCCTTGTTTTGATAACCGTGTAACGTGATCAATATTGTCATAATCAGAAAGTTCTATCTTGTTACATTAATTACTTAAACTGGCATTATGAATCTGTGGCCAATCCTTCCGGAGAATAGATAATCATCCAAACATTTTTCATTTAAAACCTTTTTATGATAATTTATTACGAAATTAAAATGAAACTAATGATAAAATATATTTTTAGATATTCGCGATAGCTAAAAGCTTATGATTTACATGTTTATGGAAGTGGGCAAATTCCAATTACAATTTATGCAATAAATGAAAGAACCCTCAGTTTTAATCATGTCTTCTTCCGCTTTAAATCGATGAATATTCCCTATCTCGATCTCTCATATATCTATATGTGCTATCTTGAATTTAGAAAGGGGGGAACTATTTTTTCTTTTTTTTAGCCTATCATGTAGAAAATACATTTGTTTCATTTCACGGTAATTAAAAATAAGAACTAAGAGCACTGCTGTTTGATTTCAATGAATCCTGAAATCATTTTCATTTTTGTACTTTAATTTTAAATTATATAAT